AGAAAATTGCCAAAAAGATGAAGAAGAAGAAGAAGAAAAACGATACCATTAAATTGTTTGATGGTAATTTTCTTCTTCGTCGTTGTCGTTGTCGGATATCATTAATAATTTGCTTTCTTTCTTTTTTTGACACCATTTTTTTGAATCTTTTCTAGAATCTTTCGGATGCTATCATTACATCGGATGACGATGGTGATGATCCATTAATAACTTTTATCATTCATTTTTTCTACACTGAATTTTTTTGTTTCTTACTTGTCTTGAATTTGAACGCATTGAATGAAAAATTGTTTGAAATTTTTCAGAAAAAAACAAAAAAGAAAAAAGAAAAAATTTAACACTTATCGCCGGCGAAAGGGTTATTACAGCAAAAAAACCATATTTCTTGAAAATTTTCAAGCGGAAATTTTTTTTTTTTTTTTTTGATCATAAAAATCATCGAATCATTGAATCATTGAATAATTAAAATTAATGTTTTCTTATTAGTCAAAATTTTCTTTCAAATTTTTCAAAAAAAATGAATGGAAAAATGTCCAATCGATGGATTCATCGATTATACGATCGATCAATGAGAGTGTGTGTAAAAATCATTGAATCAGAATGAATGATTACAAATAAGGTATCCAAAAGAAACATCCGATAGTGAAATGTATCCAGAATTGAAACACAGAATCTGTATTCATAACTTGAAGAAAAGCTCGAAAGAATGGAAAGAAAAATGAATGAATGAAAAATTTTTTTATGCGCTTCAACGGAGCTCAACGACTATCTATAAGTGTTCAACTCTTATGTAATAACAGTGTTTGTGTGTGTGTGTGTGTGTGTGTGTGTGAAAAGCCGATAATAATGATGATGATGCCCAAAGAAGCAAGCCAAAAGTCTATAACACTTATTCATTTCTCATTTGATTCTTTTTCTTGGTGAAAATTCCTATCTCCAGTGATGATGATGATGAAAGATGAACCAAGAAGACATCAGTATCAACATTAGAAATGCCGAAAAAAAATAAAATCCAAAAAAATTATTTAAGCGTAAAATAATTTATCACATACATACACACAAACATTTCCATCCAATTCTCAATTCACCATTTCATACAACATTAGCATCAATACCGAATCAGTTTCTTTCTTTCATTCATTCATTGTGTGTGATGCTTAGATTTTCTTTCTCAGAAGCATAAGAAGAAGAAAATGATCATCTTTAAGATTTTTTTCTGTTGTTTTTTCATCATATCTTATCGTAGAATGATGATAATACCGGGTTTATTTCTGGAGAAACAAAAAACCCCCCCAAAAAAAAGTGTAAACATTGGGATTCTGAATTGGTTGATTCAAATGGAAAATGGCAGTTATGTTTTTTTTCTCTCTCTGGTTGTCAAAATGATTGATTGATTGATTGA